ACAGTCAAGAATAACATGTTTAAAACTTGAAGAAATAAAATCAAACAGCAAAACAAGCGGACGTTTACTAAATAACTTGAAACTTAACATTGATCTTTAACGCAAAATTTTCAAGATATTGCCTATTCATCTTCACCGCTTGTCGCAGTTGACAGCATTGGGAAATTATTCCCAAGTCAGTCTCACATATAATCCAAAACTAAACCACCGCTTGTTGCCTTTTCCATTTGATATTTTAACCAAACTAAACCACCTGCAAAATCAAATCTGAATCCCAAACTTTCTCATCATAATCTGGTTTCTTGAATACTAACAAACTATAATCCAAAACAAGTTTTGGATCCAGCCACTCCTGGTAAGGAGTCCAAGTCTGGCTAAAAAAACTTCCATCATAATCTGGTTTCTTGAATACTAACAAACTATAATCCAAATCCAGCCACTCCTGGTAAGGAGTCCAAGTCTGGCTAAAAAAACTTTCTCATCATAATCTGGTTTCTTGAATACTAACAAACTATAATCCAAAACAAGTTTTGGATCCAGCCACTCCTGGTAAAGAGTCCAAGTCTGGCTAAAAAAACTTTCTCATCATAATCTGGTTTATTGAATACTAACAAACTATAATCCAAAACAAGTTTTGGATCCAGCCACTCCTGGTAAAGAGTCCAAGTCTCGCTACAAAAACTTTCTCATCATAATCTGGTTTCTTGAATACTAACAAACTATAATGCAAAACAAGTTTTGGATCCAGCCACTCCTGGTAAAGAGTCCAAGTCTGGCTACAAAAACTTTCTCATCATAATCTGGTTTCTTGAATACTAACAAACTATAATCCAAAACAAGTTTTGGATCCAGCACTCCTGGTAAGGAGGAGTCCAGTCTGGCTAAAAAAAACTATAATGACAAACCTAATCAAACAAACTAAAGCCCATGTCATCATCACTTTCTTCCTTGGCCTCTTCCTGAAAAATCAACAAAATAAAGGTGCATTTAATTCCTGTTCAACATTAAGTTTACTATGCTCAACAATGATAAATAACTTGATCAGGCAAATGCTACAATTATGAAAGAATAAAATAACTCCTAAGAGTGTTGAAAACACTAAATGTTAATTTTTACTTAAAAGTAAGTTCTACAAAATAGTTCAAAACGTTCAAACCAGTTATAAATATCAGCAATACAATAAAGGCACAAACCGAATCGAAAAATGAACATCATCAATTAAGTTCCAATTAAGTTCATTGAATACTGTGTACTTAGACTGAATCAAAGGGTGGTGATGAATCAAAGGGTGGTGATAAAGATATGCATTTAACACTACATTTTATTCATTATCCTAGCCTACAGCAACCTACAGCAAAGCCTCAGTATTTATAGTCACAACATTACCAATTACAATTTTAAGCCTCAGTATTGTTTGAGTGTAAAAGATCAAATTTATAGTGCACAACATTACCAATTACAATTTTATAAGAGTCAAGCATCGATCAGTTACATATCATTCATGAGTTTTCTATCAAAGCATAATCCTCATTAACAGAATTAAAATATGTACCTTCTTTGTTTCAACAGGTGCCTCTGCTGCTGCTCCACCAGCGGCGGGTGCCGCTCCACCGGCTGAAACAACGGCGGGTCCACCGGCTGCGCCAGAGTTCAAAACAAGATCATCAACGTTCTTGCTCTGAGTAAGCTTGGCAAAAAGGCTTGGCCAGTAGGATTCGACGGTAACATCAGCAGCCTTCAAGATTGTGCTGATCTTCTCCGCCTACACAAAATAAAAATAAAAACTGAGATGTAGGTTTGATTTGAGGAAATGTGAGATCTAGGTTTGATTTGGGAATAAGTGAAAAGAGACAGAATTGAAGAGAGATAGTAAACTAACGGTAATAATCGAAAAGAAACAGAATTGAAGAGAGATAATTGAAGAGAGATAGTAGACTAACGGTGATTGGGATTCCATCGTCGTGGAGAATCAAAGTGGCGTAGATGCAACCCAACTCACCGGAACTCATCGTGGCGTATAGGTTGAATCACGAGTTTGTGGCACAGAAAAATGTTAGGGTTTTCGAAGACTCGGCTGCTTAGGGTTTTGCCACGGAGTTAGGGTTTTTCAATTTGGATCTTTGTTATTGGGCTTTTGGGAATTTGGGTTCTTTCAATGAAATGATTTACACCCGCGTTACATTTACACCAGATCTTCCATATATATAACATTTTTTGGTTTTTGTTTTTCAATTGAACTTTTAATATGATAAGAATTATTTTTCAATTATATTTTAACATAAAATATACTACCCAATGATTCTTAAGATAAACTGTCATTTTTTTTAATTGAAAAACAGTTTTTCTTTCTTTTCTTCAACTAAAAAATCACCTTTACAAAAAATTATTATATGTTTATTAAAATATTTATTATTTTGGGTGTGACAAAGGGACAATAAGATCGTCTTATTACGTGGCTCAATCTAATGACTGATTAATAAATGTACCTCCGTCATAGAGCATCGCATTAGAGCACACTAATGTCCCTGCATAATTTAAGTTGAATCATCTTAAGTTGTTTTAACTATCGTATGTATATATCAAAGGTAAAGGAGTCAAAGCTGCAATCATAAAAATGACGATTTCAGAGACCATCTATGAGATATGGCAGGCTAGGAATAATTGTATTTTTGGAGAAAAGTCGGAGATCACTATTATAGTAAGAAAAGTAATAGATACTTTGGTGTATAGAGGATGGAACACTAAAAAACTTCGGAAGTATATAGTTATCTTAATGATAGAGGGGGATTAGATAGATAGATAGTTTTTTTTATGTGTCCCTTTTTGGTCCTTGATTGTTTGTAGCTGGATCCAATGGAATCGCTTGTATCTATCGTCATTTTTTGAAGTAATATAGTTTTATTTTCAAAAAAAAAAACTATCGTATGTATATAAGTCTAACTATGAGTTACGTCTAAGTATTTTTTTCATTGTATTTGTATAGTTCTATCTCTCTAAAAAATTGGTACTAACCTTTCAAGTTTCTTATCTCTAATCACTATAAATTTTTACTACCGTACTAGAAGCTCTTACACACTGGTCATTTTCAACATTTCATCCATTCTCTGTTCAAGTATGGAATAATGACATGATTTATGAGAATCATCTTCTGATTCTCATGGATTTTTCATCAAATTTATGTAATTTTCTTTGTTGCAACGTCACAACTATTTTGTTTAACCACTTTTGATTGTTGTAATTGCTTACGTTAACCATTCCAATCATTATTAATCTTCTCACAACCGCTTTCAGTTAACTTCTATAATTGTAGGGTCGAAAGCAACTCGATCAACGACTCAATGTAACATTTGTTCATGTTATTGACATCTAGTTGACACTTCAAATAACGTAATGCTAGTTCTCATTATTGCAACAGAAGAAACTCTTCAACACCAAGATCAACAAGCTTCGATTGTAATCACTTCATCAACTATAGTAGTGAAGAAGGGAGGCATTGATCCGGTTTGGACGGTTACTGTGGTTTTTGAAAACGTGTTTGATTATGTTTTCGTACAATAAAAACTTTGGATTATACCTTTTTGAGTTCCGCTGTCTTTTGAGCAATTTTTGATAACTTTTAGGAAAATCTATTGTTTACGGAGCCTTGACCATATTTGATTTATTGGGAAACGTACGTCATTGAAGTGATTTTTTTGAGTTTAATAATTTATTCTGATAAATGTGAATATTTTGTCATTTAAATTGTGGAGTAGAAAAGGGTGTTACAATCTCCACTTTGTCAAAAAGACAAAATTAACCAACCTGAGGTCCTTCATACCTAACCCCCGTTTATTCTTTGGTTTGCATATATCTTCTCATTTAATCCAAGATAGTTTAGAGTCACCTTTCGCTCTCTCAAAGGAACTTTCTTTATAACTTCATTATCTTCTCCCAAACTAAGACGCACATCTTTATAAAAGACAAAAAAGCAAGGATAACATTACACACAATATTAAAGAGAACTACCTTGCCTCCCAAGCTAAGATATTTATGCTTCCAAAAGTTGAGTCTCATCTCCAATAAGTTAACTAAACGATCCCAAATAGCTTTAATTCAAGGATTAGTCCCCACCGACAACCCAAATTACTTAAAGGGAATGTAATATATCTTACAGTAAAAGAACACTCTAGTAGATGAAAGAAAGATAAAATCCAAATTAACATCTATAAGACTATTTTTGAAGAAATTTATCCAAAACCCCAAAAGTCAGTTCGAAACCTCTAAGAATTGCCTTAATACCCCACAAATTCTCTAAAGTACGTTCAACCATAAAAAAAATATCATCAATATACTAGAGATGAGACACCACTAATCTCAATAAACTTAGAATAAAGATCAATCTCCTTTGTCCTACAAACTAATCTATTAAATCTCTTGAACACTAAAAGAAAAAGAAAATAAATTAGAGGATCCCCTTATTTCACCCCTTTAAAGAAGTGATATTTTGCTTTTGCTTCTAGCAAAATATTTTTATTTTGCTTTTGTTTCATGTTCTTTTGTCTTACAACAAATTGAATTATATTAGATTCTTCGCCGTATAATATATTAAAAAAATTAATCATTACTTCTCTAATATTAACAAAGATCAAATTTCATATATAAATTTTATAATTAATTTTCTTAAAAGACCGAAACAAGTTTTTTTTATTGAAAGTCATATTAAAAAATAATACATTTACGGGATGAATGACAAATGTAAAATAAATATTGTATTAAGTGCATTAAAACTAGTGGAAAGTGATTGCCATTCTGTCAAAGAAAAAAGTGGATAGGGATAAAAATAAAGTTGTTGAACTTTGTCAACTAAAAAACAAGTTGTTGAATATAAAATTGAATCAAAATTGGCTTTCCTAATACATAACGAATGAAAAAAAACGAAAAAGATTGAACGCGTAAAGTGGTTCAACCACGCGTCATCGCAAGAAACAGTCCACGCAGAAGCCGCTTAAGGTAGAAACTTCATGAAAATTCTAAACATCAGTCTGGTAAAGGAAGCAACTTCTTCACCCGTGGCCGCTGAATCAAAAACCACTGTGAAAGATGATCTGAAAACATTAATGTCCGGTGGGGATAAGAAAAACCCGACCCGTTCGAGAACGAGGTTTGCGCCGGAGTTTGATGGACTACACTGCTTTGAATGCATTGTACCTTCTGTCTGAGCGATGGATTCAATTTAGCTCTAATTTCGATTAGCTTGTTATCAAATTATGTGCAATTTTGATTCATTTATTTTTTTACTGTATAGAGAGTGTACCGTATCAGTGACTTGAAACTGGTCAATGTAAGTTGAATTTTGAAACAATACAGCCCTTTTTTTTATTATTCATAGTGCTTTGAATTATAGTACTATACTTTTGTTCTTGTGAGTTAGTGTTATCATGATCTATCATCGAATATTGCAAGCCTATTGGATGTGTAGCGTCAAATAATCCTGACATTGGATTTTAGTTTTATTTATTTTTTATCACTAAATTCAAGTTAGAAAATCAGGTTGAGGTGTGAACCAGATATGATTTATCACTGGGCTTAGGTGTAATGTGGCCGTCCAAAAGTCGGCTACGTGATTTTTGAAGTGTAAGTATAAATAGATAACTAAATTTATTTTTTTCTCTGCTTTCTTGTGTGAGTCTCTTTATTTTTCTTGATATCTTTATCTTTCTTCATAAGGATCATCATGACTTCGTCAAAATGCTTTTAATTTAGAGACACTTAATTAAAATGAGTTTATTTAAAAGACATATTAAAAAGAACTCAAGAAAAAAAAAATGATATCTTAAATTGTGGTTGCGGTAGTTAACCTAACAAGACTTGAATTTTTTCTAATATGATAAGAAAAAAAAGTTAAGTTATGAATGAATTCCATGGATTTTTCCTAATATGATAAACAAGAAAAAAGTAAAGTTATGAATTCCATAGAGAGCTCTATGAAACCAATATATCGTGGTTAGAAAAAAGTAAAGTTATGAATTCCATGGAGAGCTCTATGAAACCAATATATCGTGGTTAACCGTCATGATATTGTTGCTCTTTTGACTTCAATAGAAAAATTTGAAACTAATTGGATAGAAGTCATATTTCTTCATATGAAATTCAAGAAGCTGGACTCCCATATTGAAGATTAATCATAAATTTTTTGGACGCATTTAATATCAACATTATAGGGAAAGAAATGGAGTTATTAATTAATAAGATCAAATTACTAATCATTCAAAAATATGAATATTTACATTTAACAGAGAGAATTAAGTTACAACTTGACTGATGAAAAAGATCATTCGAAAGAATCTGACAACTCAACAAAAATAATATCATAAAGATTGTCAGCAAAATAGTCTATCCATACATGGTCTGATCAATATATTGCAAAAATCAAGAAAATTGTCATAAGGAACAATGATACTCATGACAAATAATAATCTTATTTATGTATCTTAGTTTTCTTAGTGTGTTTGTTTTTTTGTTTTTAAATTCCTAAAATTTTCTACTTTATGTATAATTTGATTCAATGATGTCTACTTGTTTTTTTTTTAATTCCTATGTGATTATATGTCTGCATGTTTTAAATTACCGTTTTGCATTGTTTACCCGTTATTTTTATTATGATAAATAGGGAAAAATATACTCTCAGAGAGAGTAAAGTATACTCTTTACTTATTTAAGGGAGAGATTAAACACTTCGTTATTATTAACCTATTATTTTTTTACCACCTCCTTGAAAATGCATTGTCTTCATCAAAATAGGGGAAAATGAGGAACGATATGTTTACGGGTTCAATCAACAAGTGATCCAAGCTAAACACATCATAATTTGGTTTTGAGGATGACAACCTAGATTTACTAATGATAACTTGTAAGGATAATACAACATTTGATGATGACTTATGAAGACTTAATTTGATCCTAAAGCATAAAGTCAAGCATGAGTGTGAAGCGATCGAAGATGCATAAGATTATTTGTTTAAAGTTATTCCTTTGAATTAACCTGATGAAATAGGATTTTGATGATATTTATCCTTTGATGATGACCTCAAACTTGAAGATATCTCAAGCCTCATCTCCAAGAATATTCAAAAAAATATTTATATGATTGGTATATTCGGCAAAGTCATGAGCTTCAAAGTATGAGAGAGAGAAAATGTAAAAGTTCGTCTAATTGTGTTTGAGTGATCTGTATTTTGTAAAGACACGGTGAAATTTTTATAAAGCAATATGGCTAAATCACACACACACACACACACACAAATATTTTTAAAAATCTTATTTCTCAAATAAAACAACCTAAATATATTTTAGAGTCTAGCCAAAAGAATCATAAGCTATCCGATGACGGACACATTTTTTAGTTTTCCAATCGATTATAGCATATTCACAGTCGATTGGGTTAGTGCAAATAATCTCCATAATCTATTAGGACAATGTCTTCATATTCCTTGTATAAGGGAGTTTATAAGCTCATCCTACTAAAAGCTTATAAGCATTACATGATACTCTCAAGATAAAATCTTGGAGAGATGATTATGTCGCTTAATTTAAAACGAACCTCTATAAATTTTGATATCTTCTCTCTTCTCTTATCTTTTTATTTTCAGCATATTTTCTTTCCATTAATTTTTCACTGTTATTTTCAAATATTTTCGTACAAATGTTATTAAATTATGAAAATGAAAATAAATGAGTTAAACAATCAATTTTAAAGCCCCTACAATTCGGCCCCCTCTTGTGTGTGAAGTCACATGTTTCATAGGTAGTGGTCATGAGTAGCCTTGCATCTGATTCACCATCATCGTGTGTTATTTTGGCCTCTTCATTATCTTTCTGAATTTTCTTTCCTCCTTCTTTCTTGTACCAACATTCATTTGCAAAATGGCCACGCTTTTCACAATTATAGAATTATATCTTTCTTTTATCACAATCCTTCTTCTTGAAGCGATTCTTGCCATGATCTCCGCCTTTTTAGAAGATTTAACCTTTTATTCACTTTTTTTCTTTACAACATTGTACTAGTTTGAATTCTTGGGACCTCCTTTGCCTTTCTTCTTGAAATTACTTTCAACTCCATCATTTTCCATTACTTGAGCTTTCAATGCTTATTGAGTTTATCTTTTAGTGCCTATATGAAGTACCATCAACTTATGTGCTTCTAATGAGCTATGATCAAGTGTCAAGATATTGGTTGAGAAACCACCATTTGCATTCATCTTTCTTTAGTTTTAAGAAATATATGCAACTTTTCTTCACTATTCGTTTCTCACTATTTTTCCAATACTTCACTCGTGTTTCCCTTATGGATCAACACCTTAATGTTGGAATTAGACTCTATATGTCAATTAACTATACACGAAAACTATTACTTGCAAAACAAGTAACATATAAATGAAAATATGAAAGAGAGAGAGAGATTTTTTAAGAATACATTACAAGAAAGATATGAGAATAATTGATTTTATAGTTACTTGTGATTCAAATCACTTGAAGCACAAAGTAACCAACTTAACTAACTACCCAACAAATTTCTAATTAATTATAACCCTCATTTAAAATTATGACATCAACAATAAAGAATAAAAATGACTTATACATTACACTATCTTTCAATTTTTTTTTTTTATTTCTTACTCATATAATATCAATACTAAAAATAACATATACTCATGTAATATCAATACTAAAAAATAACAAGAAAAGAACACCTTATAATATCTTAAATTTGAATGGATGAATAAAAAACATGTATGACGAGTATTTCCCCGGTTCCATAACGTTTATCATATTAAACATAATAAAAAGAATATATTATTTTTTCAATTTGACTTATTCCATCTCTATCTCGAAGTATGATTGTTATTGTGGAACAGAGAGATAAACTCTAGAGACATAGTGTACGTGGTCAACAAGAAAGTTGTTGAATTTCGCAACAGCAAAAAAAGAAAGTTGTTGAATGTAAATTGAATCAAGTTTGGGTTACAGTTAGTCAGTAGTAGTACAGTAAGTCATAACAACCAAAAACACCAAAAAGACTGAGCGCGTGAATGGTCGTTGAACCACGCGTCAAGGAAAGAAGGTTCGAGAGTCCAAACAAGAACACCGCATAAAAAATTCGAGAAAATACCAGGAATAGTCTTCCACGACTCTTCCACTTTCTCATCTTCTAATCCAATATAAATCCTCCTATCATCAATGTCTATCCAACACACCTCAAATAACATTAATAATTGTTCCAACCAATTTATTCAAATCCTTCAACAATCTCTTCGAATCCTCACAACCTCAACCACACAACAAACATGTTTATGTCTATGTTCAGCCACTTCGATATCTCACAGGGCAAACAATGGAGCTTCTCCTTGGGTTTGGGCCCGGTAAAAGATGGAAATCCGAAGCCCAATAAGGAAGCTACTTCCTCATCCAAAGCGACCGTGAAAGATGATCCGAAAACATTAATGCCCGGTGGAGATAAGAAAAACCCGACCCGTTTGAGAACAAGGTTTGCACCGGAGTTTGATGGACTAAACTGCTTTGAATGCATTGTACCTTCTGCCTGAGTGATGGATTCAATTTAGCTTTAATTTCAACCCGCTTATTATCAAATCATGTGCAATTTTGATTCATTTATTTTTATTGTATAGAGCATATCAATAGTTTTGAAGAAAAATTAAGTTATGTAATGTACCGTATCAGTGAGTTCAAACTGGTAAATGGAAGTTAAATTTTGAAACAAGATAGCCTTCTTTTTGTTAATCATAGTACTTCTTTTCTTGTGAGTCAATGTTATCATGATGCATCGACGAATATTGCAAGCCTATTGGATTTGTATCGGCAAATAATCCACACATCTTGATTCAAGTTAATTATTAATGTATCTAATAAGTTTTCTTGAAAGTAAAACTCACAACAAGTCTTCACAAAGATTTTAATAAATGAAGTCAAAAGCGGGGCAGAGCAGTTCACTCTATTCTTAACTTAGGCGTCCGAATTTTGTCCTGTTTACTAACGAGTTGGTAAGTAAGAAATCTTTTTTAAATTTTTTTTTTTTTTTTTTATAATTTAATTTACTACATAATTCACAAAATTATTAATCATTACGTAAGACACCGATAAATTATAACAACGCATAGTAAAATTTTAACAAACTTTTATGTTGGAATTCAACCACGATCTG